GTGTGGTGGGAATTGTGAAGTCATACCTGCATGTAGGTACCTTTGTTTCACTTTGTTTTACGATTACAGAAGTTCACATTAAAGAAGAGAAGTAGATGCCATCACAAAGTACAACCATTTATCTTTTGATTTCTTTGGTGGGATGCACCAGATGGATATTCACAATCAAACTCAGCAAGCAGTGAATTAGTACATTTGCCCATCAAGCCTCTTACTACCGTAGACTATCTATCTATCTATCATAGCAGTAAATAGCAATATATAGTATGCTACATCATTCCCCACCATTATGTAACTTACCATATATGGATGGAATGCCTTATGTATTGCCCTAAAAATGAAGTACAGTACTGCAAAAACCCAAATGCAAGAAATGGCACCACACTATGTTCTATTGGCTATCAGGAATTAAGAGAGCATAAACTGCAATACCTTTTCCATCAGAAGAATGTTAAAACTTTATTATTTATGCATCATGAAACACACATTAAACTCAGCACTTCCACCTTCTTTACCAGTCCACAGGGTACATTTGTTCATTCAGTGGGGAAAATTAGTGATTATTGCAGGACATCTATTTACTGTGGGTCACCTTGATTCACTGTGTATTTGGATTTAGGTAAATTGGTTTCCTTGATCCTGGTTGTATTTGTGTGCGCAACTACATAATATTGTGATACAGAGCTTGTCTAGAGCAAAATAGAAGAGTTTCTATTATTATTTGCTTTAAAAATGCACCTACATGAAGGGTTACGTCTTCCCAGCATCATGGCACTGATGAACTATATATATAACATCTGTATTATTACAAATAATATTTCCCCAGGGTCCTATCATGCTTCTGTGTGTATATGCATCCTGGGCTGTCTAATAAGAAAGCCCAGCAGTAGCTCTGCACTTCAATACTCCAATAGAATGAAGATCTAGTCAGTCTGTATTTACTTGGAGAGGAGGAGGGGACCGTGTGCCCAGGGCCGTCTTTAACGCAGGGCAAAGAGGGCACTTGCCCCGGGCTCAATAAAGGTTGTGGGGCCCGAAGCATCTGCCCCTTGAGCCCGCTGCCCGCAGAAAATTGCATAGAACCAAGGGGTGTCCATCCTCCTCACACTGTGGAGCCCCCAGCATGTTGCACAGTCGCTCCGGGCTGCACATTTGAATGACAACCTCCCTCTCCTGAAGAAGCGCCCCTAAGCGCGAAACGTTGAGAGAAAACTAGGCTCCTCCTCTGTTAAACCTTCAATAACGCTGTATCATGTCAAATTACCAACAATCATGTCTAATCATGGCTTTCTACTATCTGTTAATTATGTCTAATCATGGCTTTCTACTATCATGCATTGTAATTCTATCAATCATGTTATTCACATATATTGAAGGACAGAACAGAAATGGAGTGAGATTTTCAGGGAGATATACAATTATGATGTCATTTTTTACATTTTTTTTTCTTGGTGGTGGGCCCGGGGGAAAATGTTTGCCCAGGGTCCGATCAATATTAAAGACGGGCCTGCATGTGCCTCATCTGTGTTATTTAGTGGACTCAGTTGGCTGTGTGTGTGTGTGTGTGTGTGTGTAAAAACCTGACATAGTGCTATTTTGTCTGTAATCACATTTTGGAAACAAATCAGTTACCTGAAACCCTAGAATACCAGACTGACACTTGCTGCAAAATAGTAAATATTAAATATGTATATGCAATACTTTGTATTTAACAAAAACAAATGTTTTAAATTATATTCTTGACATATATTTTATAAACAAAATACAAACCACTGTAAATTCTATTGAAAGTATATTTCAACTTTTGCAGCCAGATTGGGATAACACCTATTTTATATTTGTTACATGTTCCCATTCCCATAGACTTTGCTAAACAATAAAACAAATATATAAGATATAATTTACCTATAAATAATAAAAATAATTTTAAATAATTTTAAAAATAATTTAAAAAAAAGACCATGCAGTTTCAACTGCTTTTACTTGGGTTAGTGTTTTAAGGGTTAACATTTCTACTTACTTATCTTTCTTTACACTGTTAGGAGAGGCTGTGAGAGGTGAGGGGTCTGAGGTGTTATGTCCATTGTATATTAATTGAGTGAATGAGAGAAACAAAAATCCTCACATTTCAGTCATAAGCCTTTTTATTACGACAGATTACCATGAAGGTGCTGAGAAAAATCTGGAATCAGCAATCTTGCCTGCTTTTAACAAAGCATCTAACAGGTAAGAAATATATATATTTTTACATTTTTTTTCTTTACGCTGTGTGAATAGGATCATGTAATGAACATATAGAGGTTTTTTTCAAATTTGACTGCAAAAGTGGAAATACACTTTAAGTCTGAACAGGACAAATTTGCTGATTGTGAATATTTTAATAAAAATGTAATTATGCTTTACTGACATTCAGTAATGTTTCTATGAGAATGTTTCTGTGTTATGGCTAAAATGTAGAACAGGACATGAAAAAAATAAAACAAAAGAAAATAACATAATAATGTAAACTAGCTCAAGCGCTTAGTAAGAAGAAAATGTATAATCCTGACCTTTAGAAGGGTCTGCTTCCAGTTATTCTTAACAAACTCAAGAGGTCAACTACCTTCCAGCGGGTTAGCAGCATAAAAAATACAACATATGCATTTTTCTACTATTTCTATATCTCGTGTTGCTGTAAGATTTTCCCCTCTGAACATAGCAAAAACTGATGTACTTAAAACAAGCGCGCATTTTAGCTTTGGACACATTTACATCTATACTTTGCAGTAACTCGCAGAACAATGCACAGTTTACCATTCTTTACAGATGCAAAAACCCGCATACATCAGTGTGGTGTATTGCAGCACCCCAATGCAGTATTACAAAAGTAGGCAAGACACCCACATGCTGGGAATTTTGCTGTGCTGCATTAAAAAACAGGATCATGGATATAGATTTTAATTTTTATTTACTCCACCCAAAATGATATAGCTTTTGCAAGCAACAGCCAAATACGGGGATAGTTTTATAAGGCATCACAACTATTTGTATCTATTCAGATGGGGTTCTTTAAAGGAGAACTATGGGGTCAGTGTTTTTCCCCATAGTTCTCCTTAGGGTAACGGGAGGACACAAACTAGCGTCCTCCCGTTACCCTAAGCTCAGTATACCGCGAGCCACAGCTCGCGGTATACTGAGACGGCGCACCTGGAGCGGATCCCGACGTAGATGACGGGATCCGCCCAGCTGCGTGAGTGACAGCTGGCTCTGCCTATCTAGAGGCAGAGCCAGCTGTACCCGCCCCCTCCCCCGTCCGTTCCGCCAGTCAGCACTGGCAGATCAGAGCGGGGAGAAGGGAATCCAGCCCCTCCCCCTGTCACGGCAGAGAGCCGTGACAGGATCGAGAGGTGATGGAACCCGGTATGTGTTCGCTCACCTCCCGATCTACTGAGCCGACCTGTGACAGTCTCATTGTCACAGGTTGGCTAGAACTATGAGGTGAGTGGAAATCACTCATCTCATAGGTCTCCTTTAATTAAAAATGAACTTCATTCATTATTTGGGGCTTTTTTTTATCATTTTAGTTCTGTACTAGTCATCTTAGTCTGTACTAGTCTCTTACTCCGTACTGGTCTTCTTAGCCTGTACTGGTCATTTTACTCCACACTGGTCATCTTGGTCCATACTTGTCATTTCAGTCTGCACTGGTCATTTTAGCCCATAGTGGTCATTAGACATGATGACAAAAGAAATTGTTTCATTTCATTTTGATTCATATTTTTCTTTATTCATTTCTTTGAGTGTTAAACATATTCGTTTCAGAACCATTGGAGATAAACATTACATAACCTAAAATAACACAACAAAAGATCTTTGCATCAATCGTTATGTTATGTAGATTCTGACTTTTTTACATTTGGATGAAATTCGGAATAAAAATGTGAATTCATTGAAACGTGGATGTGTTCGAATTCGGAAATTCAGATGCATCCGAATTTCCACATTTAATAAAATTCATCCAAATTTCCATTCGAGCCGAAATGTTTGCATGTCTACCACACAGCTTTGTTTGACATCAGAGGATGCCTAATTTTGCTGCAGTTAGGTCCTTCCTTCAGCTTTTGACTAGACTGTAAAATGACAAGCAGCAGACTGATGAGCTCATATTTAAGTCACTCTGCCCTCTTCTTCTATGAGCATGAGTCTTGCACTGCAGTGCAATTGACTGACTCCTTGTGCTGCTTTTGCCTTCCCCAGTTTGAGCTCTGCTGTAAAGCTTTTGTTTAAAAAGTACATTCAAGATTGCATTGATTAATACAGATCTGCATTAATATGTATCTTTTATATCTGCCTAGAGTTTATCTTTGACTATCATATTCATATATATATATATATATATATATATATATATATATATATATATATATATATATATATATATATATATATATATATATATATATATATATATATATATATATATATATATATATATATATATATATATATATATATATATATATATATATATATATATATATATATATATATATATATATATATATATATATATATATATATATATATATATATATATATATATATATATATATATATATATATATATATATATATATATATATATATATATATATATATATATATATATATATATATATATATATATATATATATATATATATATATATATATATATATATATATATATATATATATATATATATATATATATATATATATATATATATATATGCATATATAAATTGCATACTACTGTAGCTATTACCTTATTTTGCATTCCATGATATTGTTCAGCTTTCTAGTTGGTAGTACCAGAAGAGCTGAATACAAAATGACTACTTGGTACTTATAAATCGCAGATGAGAACATTGAAGAGAAAGTACAGCCACTGTGCAGATTCACAGGCTAATGACTCCTTGACTCTGAAGCTGGGCAGATTTCCAAAGGTGTAACAGGAACACTAGTTCAAAGCAGCTGAAGTTGCTTAACTTCCTCCTATTCTGCTTAGTTAACTTTGTAACAGGGACAGTGATTACCTTAACTTCACTCAGCAAGTTACGGCATTGTGCTCTAATTCTGTTCAGCTCATTATGGATCTTGGTAACAAGCAACTTTTGACATGGATGGACAAGACCTACTACTATGTAATGAAATTCACGCTTCTTTTAATGAGTGAAACGTTTTATTAGATCTTTGTCACAGTAGAAAAGTAATCAGTGACTGTTCTGCTTCACAGTAACCAACTCTCTGCTCATGCATTGAAGGAAAGGTAAGCGTTATACATCAGTTAAACAAATATGAAAGATTATTACAATTGTTAGAACAACCTGTGTCACTAGTAGCAATATATATGCAAAATTTATTTTCATTGTACACAGTGCATAAATTGAAAACATACATTGCACTAGAAAACTCATAATAGATACACATAGTTATTGCTCTGTGCAGTGAATTTATAAGGACATTACTTTCCAAAAAATGAAATGGTATAACATTGATTATGTACATAGTAAGGAGCCCCCTACCGCATAGCTGTTTTAATATAGCTTATGTATATTAGCATAAGTGTGCCCGCTTGCTGAACGGCAGAAATGTTTGAGCTGGCTTGCACTCCTGAGAGGGTTCATTTACAATGTTGCCCAACCTAGTCTAATGAACTGTACTAATAGTGCTTTCTTCCCTTGTCCAAAATAGATAGCGTGCTGGCTTAGTGGTTGGTTAACTGTACAGCTGGGGTTTTTGGTTGAATTTGCAGTAGATGCTCTGGGAATAAAGATTTATGTAACATTCCCACATTCCACATTGTTATTGCTAAATTATTGTTATCTTTAAGATACATTTAAGTAGTGTGCAGTGCTATATAGAGAGCACTGCATATCAGCCACAACACTTTCATATCAGCCACAACACTTTCATATCAGCCACAAAGGACCGTATTATTATTATTCAGGTTAAAATGGACCTAAAGTAAAAAAGATGACCTTTAGGTCCATTGCTCATCGTTGCTGTTGGCATTAACATCTTGAACTCCAAGAAGGGAACGTGTCAATGAGGCAGCAGCTTGTCAGGCCTGGATGGATCTTGCTACAGGAGATAAATAAGTATTAAGTAAGTCTAACTGCTATTTTTATTAATGCCTTATGCATTATTTAAATTAAAGTGAACCTGTACCCAGACAATACACAATAAAGTATTTACATAGTCTGAGCAATCAGTAAAAGGAACTTAAAACAAGCGCTAAATTACTCTGGCAGCTACTTTATATGCATTGTGAAAAAAAATTCCCAAAAGAGGCACTCAAATCTAACAGGGTTATTCAAAAAAGGGTGAAGAGTTTGGAGAAGGCAGGAGAAGTGAACAATCTAGGACAACATAGCTGAACTGGAAAGTGAGCTGAATTGGAGAATTTTTCCAAATCAGCTATTTTAACCTAGATTGTTCACTTCTCCTGCCTTCTCTAAACCCTTCACCCTTTTGTGAATAACCCTGTTAGTTTTTTCCTATTGCTTTCTATTGCACCAGAATCCTATCAGGCTAATACCCCTCTTATGTAAACAAAAATCAAATGTGTCTAAGCAGTTGTAAACTGAATGGAACATATTTTAGAGTCTTTGTTATGATCTTTGAGGATCTTTGAGACTGAATTGCTTTACGTTACAAACAGCTAGGGAGGGCAGGTTTGGCTTATTTCAAAGATTTAGCTTTTCACTGCTTGTAAAGAATGTATAAATACTTTAATGTCCATAGTTTGGGCACAGGTCCACTTTAAGATCTGCTACGAGAGTAAATATATAGAAATGAAGACAGCAGTGCACGTTATATATCCATTGGAAGGGATGAGAGCCAGCAGTAATAGGGACAAATCAATGCATGGTAGAAATATAGACAAGAAGCAATCATAAACAGTACTACTGAGCAGTGAGTGGTTCGTATGAATAAAAAGCGATGAGAGACAGCAATGAAAGTGAAATGGTACTGTTCAGCATTGGATAGTACATATAAATAAGTGATGAGAGACAGCAGTAAAAGAGAAAGGTACTGCTAAATAGTGGTTGAGTCATATAAACAGAAAGTAATAAGAGGCAGCTGTGACAGGGACATGGTGCTGCTGAACAGTGAGTTGTGCATCTAAATTGGAAATTATGAGAAACAGCAGGGGTAAAAATATAGTGAGCACTGAAAGAGACATAGTGCTTTTGAGCAGTGGGTGGTACATATGATTAGGAAGTAATAAGAGACAGAAGCAACAGGACATAGTACAGTATTGAAAGAGACACAGTGCATGGAAACAGTAAATGCTACATATATATAGAAATTAATGAGAGACAACAGTAACAGGGACATGGTGTTGTTGAGCAGTGGATGGTATCTATGAATAAGAAGTAATGAGAGACAGCAGTGACAGGAACATGGTGCTGTTGTATGGTGTTGGTACGCACTTTTTTTGGCAGATTTTCAGGCTTCAGTAAAATCATACGTTGCTTACACCCATCGAAGTCTATATGGACATTCATGTCCCTGGCAACAGATATCTGCCTTGTCTTATGAATGGATTATATATACTATGCTAGAAAGGTTGAGCTAAAGCAGGAGATTTTACTAAGGTGTTGAATATATCTCTAACTAGAGCTAAGATGGCGGTTTTCCTAAATATATCAAACACATACTTTGTTAAGTGTTGTTTTGTTAAATATTAATTTAAGAACTTAACTGTACTGCCTGTCAGTTTTTAAAGTCTGTTGAGGCATTTAGACTTGCAACGTGATAAATATCACTGTTGCTCAAACTTGTCCAACCAGTAAGGACAGCATTTTCTAAAGGAAAGAAAGAAAACACTATTGTACAAAATAAAGAGTGTATACGAATGGGATCACCTAAATCAAATAAACGTGCTTTTCACAAAAACAAGCACTTCAATTGCACACAAAACTCTTTAAAAAGTTACATATACCGACTGACTATTGACAAATGGGAAAACAAGTACTGAATGTGTGAACATAAGAAGTGAAAATGTAATACAAAATAAACAAAGAGAAAACAGAACCAAAAGAATACAGATTTACACAAAGAGAGAAATTCTGGGCAACAGTTAAACCATGCAGTGTGCTATTATTGCTGTTCATCAATTTACATTAATATGAGTCCTCTGTTATTCAATGCAACAATGTGCAACAATATGATGGTAGCCATATGTGCCCATTACACGAGTCCTGCTTTCTGCTTAGCACTTCTATACAATGGTTCTGCTTTACTGGTCCTTCTCACAATACAGCAGGGCCAAGGCATTAAAAACAATGCACTCCTTGTGTGACCAATATTTTATCTCAGAAGTTGCTTGAGAAAGACAGAATGATTGTGGTAAATCCTGACATTGGAACCTCCCTATGTTGGTTAATGTAGAGATCTTTATATTTCATCAAAATAAAATATGAAAGCATAAGTTTATAAAATTAGAATCATACAAAAACTACTTTAATGGATAGCTATTAAAAACCAAAGTCTGCATTTTAAGAACACTTGTATTCACATTACTTTATAATTATAAGAAATGTGTCTTTATTTTTGCCTCTTTTTTAAGACTTAAACTAACACTTTCTTTATTTCTTTATGTAAAACTGGTGTAGTAAGAGAGAGAGACACATAAAGGTGCATTTAAGCAAAATAATGCAGCAGTACTAAGCAGAAAGCAAAGCTGTGTAATGAACAAAACTCATGGCTCCCATGTCAATATACAGATTACACACAAACTACTGTATACTTAGTAGACATGTGCGATTCGGTTCGTTCCGAAATTCGCTTTGGACGAATTTTCAGAAATTCGGAGATTCGGATGCATCCGAATTAAAGCTAAGATGAATGCAAAGGAATCCCAAATTCCCGATTTCCCGAAATTCGTTATTGTACGGATTTCCTTTCAGCAAAACGACATTAGGAAAAAAAAAATTACAACATTTACCTTCTACAACATTTCTATGGTTAAAGTACAGAAGCAATAATGTAGAGGTTAGAGCACAGGATTGCCATTGTCAAGGTCGCTGGTTCAAATCCAGGCATGGGGGAGTAATGGATAAAGATTTTTTTTTCTTTGCTTTTGAATTGGCATTCTCCTATTGACCTAAATGACTAAATGCCATTTTTTTTTATGGTTCAAATCATGGCATGGGAGAGTAAAGTTTTTTGTTTTTTTCCATAAACGAATTTCGGCAGGACTACCGCTAACGAATTTCGTCCGAAACTAATTTGATTTCAGACCCGAAAAACAAAACTAAACTAAAATATTTTTTTGTTTCAAAACGAAACGAAACTAAACAAATTTTTTGTTTTTTTTTCAAAACGAAACTAAACTAAACAAATTTTTTTGCTGGTGCACATGTCTAATACTTAGAATCAAATATTTTAAGACAATCATTTTCAAAAATAAGATTCATTACTAAAAAGCTCAACCTCAGGCAAAGCTTTTTTTAAGACTCGGATAGAGCAAAAAATTCTGCCAAGTTTTTTGTGTTTTGTGGTCCCATTGTTCATATTTCCACTCAAGACAAGAAATAAAAGGAGTGGTTGACAATAAGACAGGAAGACACCAACAATAATAATAACATATAAGAAGTTCTAATTCTTCTCTATTTTATAAAATACATTGTTTTTTTGCAGTCTGCAATCCAAAAGGGGAGATTTTCTGTAATTTCCTGGTCCAACAAGAAGGGGAAATTTCCCCAATAAGGACACAGATTGCAAATAAAATCTTGACAGAGAGTCTATCTTTACCTGACTGTTTCCAAAAATAAACAAAGCAAGTTTTTGTCTGGAGATGACCTTTTAGTGTATGTAAACCATAACAATGAACTTCTCTTATTTGCTCTTTGTTGATCTGTTAAATATACCATTAAAAGTGTTTTGTTAAATCTGTTTAATAAGGAAAAAAAAAACAAGACTTGGTGTATAATCATGCCGAGTTCTCCCAGTTCTTATCTTGTGCTACAGGCCAATTATCTTCCATGCTGTGGAGATTATGAGAATGGGCAGGATTCAGTAGCTTAAAAATAGACAACTTGCAAACAATCTTTCCATTTTGGTCATTCTACAAAAGAAAATTAAAAGCTAAGTGCAATTCTGGCAGATTAACAGGATTTTTTTATATTTGCAG